CCCCCCCCCCAGCCTGCTGCACCCCTCAGGGCGTCCAACCTGGTGATCCCTATCTGGGTGCACTGGTTACTGGGCGGGATCTCTCTTCCACAACTTAACTACCCCTAAATGTTGCCCCGGGTGCGGGTCTCTCTATGAGTCTGTTTCTGTGTGTTCACTGACCATATGTCTGTCTCTCCTGGTTCCCGGGCCAATGAGGATCCCCTTCCTCTCTCCCCACTCAGCCTCGAGGGGTCAGGAGACCCGGTGTCGCCAGACTCAGTCTCCCGAGTGAGGGATAGAAGAACCGCCCCAGGCGAGGAAGTCCAGCCGGTTGGGCGGACAAAGCCGCTCCCTCTGGCGAACAGGAAAAACCCTTGCGTGAGTTCAGGGGACTGATTTTTATAGGGGGACCCAGACTAGTCCCCTCCCTCCAACTGAACTTCACAGAGCCCGGATGCGGTACAGTCCCTCCCGTTGTGCAGGGGAAAACTGGCTCTCAGAGAGGTTGAGGAACTTGCCCAGGGTCACACAGCTGGGAATTGCCCGTGCTGTGATTTTAACCCAAATCGTCCAGCCTCCAAAAGCCAGATTCTCTGACGTTAGGTTGTGCCCCCAGGGCCGAGGGCTCGGTCCCCGACACCGAGGACAGCAGCCGCGGTGCCCTGGGCATGACTGAAAGGCCCCGACGGGGGCCACCTTTTCTGGTTTGGAGAATGCGGCGGCGGGCGAGCGGTGGGCAGGAGCCTGCTCGGGCTGTCACCGTAAGTCTCAGAGGAGCGGGGCACCGTGGGAAGGGTGGCTAGGAAGGGCTGGAGGGCGCCGCGACGTGGAGGGACTGTGCGCTCGGCCTTGGGTGAGTGAGGAGGGTGCGCGCGCCCGCCGCCGATAGTTGCAGAGGGTGGGTCCCGGCTGTGAGAGGCGCAGCAGGAGGGACGTCATGCAGAGGACAGGGTGTCACCGGCCCAGGACTGGAGTGCGCGCACAGACCTGGCCGGGACCTGGAGCCGCAGTCCCTACCCCACCCGGGCCGTGCCAGGCGCAGCCCGAGCCCCCCGAGCTTCCCTCGCCGACCCGGAGCCGGCCGACCGCGCCGTCCTGGCTCCCGGCCCTCTCCGCGCCCTCCTCCCCTCCCGCCCCTCGCCTCCGCGGTGACAAAGCGCAGCTCCCGAACTGCTGTCTTGGTGCGCCCCCCACTGCCGACCGCCAGAGGCGGAGATCGTGGCGCGTCCTGGCATCCACGCTGGCTCCAGCCCCGCCGCTCGGCCAAGGCGGCGGCCCAGGTCCCCATTCCCACCAGGCCAGTGGATCGGGGAGCGGCACCGGTCCCACGCGCCCGCCAGCGAAGCTGGACTCCAAGAGGGATGGGTGGCAGGTCGGTGCCCCTTAGCCACGGCTTCTAGGGACCCGGACTTAACCGCGCTCGGTGAGGGGCTGGAGGAAGAGAGCAGCTCCTTTGAGAGGGGGTGCAGAACCCCACCCCCGCAACCAGTCCAGGCTGGCATAAGGAGGGTCACATGGGGAGGGGTGCCTTATAGATTCCCCTGGCCAGCCAGTCTGACCAGTCAGGCGCGCGACACACCCTGTGGACCCTATTTGTTGTGAAACTGGCCCATTGTCCCTGTAGACCGCCAGTGATTCCTTCTAGAGACTCATTCAGTTCTGAGGCCCATTTATAAACAATGTGGCAACTCTTTCTCAGAGTCCCTTTGACAAGGTTTCTCCAAGTGTGGTCCCTGCATCACCTGGGAACTTGTTAGAATGGTAAATTCTCAGACTTACTGAATTAGAAACTCTGGAGAGGGGCCCGGCAATCTGTTTTAACAAGCCCTCCAAGTGATTTCCCCGCACAGTCCGCTTTTAGAACTACTGCCCTATGGTTTCACCTGATCACCCTGGCTTCTGAGCTCCCATGATTCTCACCTGTGNTGTGAATATATTTACACACACACACACATCGCGTTTTATACAGGGCATGGGGTAAAGCAATTTCACGTCAGTTAATGGATCCAGTTTTTTGTTTGTTTGTTTCAAAGCTCTTTGCAGAAGGCAAAAACAACCTGTCAGGATAGTTGATTAACTGTTCCTCGCCCCGCACATACACGTACATAAATTCACTCAGGGAAAAAACCATTCAGAGCACTTGTTTGGCATTCTGAAGACAAAGCAGCCAATCTATAAACCACTTCTAAGGTGTGTGTGTGTGTGTGTGTGTGTGTGTGTGTGTGTGTGTGTGTGTTTAACCCCTGATACAGAATTTTATGCCTCTGTTACCCATGTTTACTTGCCCCTGTCCTTTCCACGTGATGGCCTCCGTGTATCTCTTTGTGCACTAACATATTACCTAATGGTGTCATCTCCTCATTTAGCCCCTCACTCTTCCTCTCCTTCATCCATTAAGGACACACTCACTCGGTGGCAGATTAGAAACTGCTCTGGAACTGAAGCAGCTGGAGCAGAGTGGAAAACTTGTCCTACCCAGAGATTTCTCCCACAAAAGGGAGTCAGGGGCCTTGAGGTGGGATTGGCTTGCTGGCTCCAGAGTGGAAAAGAGCTGATCTCTCATGTCTGGGTACCCCTATCCTGCCAAAGAACAGATAGAATGGAAAGAAGGGCCCAGGGACAACGAAAAGTGAGGCAGGGAAATAGGTTTTCTAGCCCTGGCTGGTAGCTCAGCAGGTTAGAGCATTGTCTTAATTGCAAGTTTGATCTCTGGTCAGGGCACATACAAAAATCAACCAATGAATGCATAAATAAGTGGAACAAATTAATGTCTCTCTCTCTCTCTCAAATCAATCAATAACTTTTTAACGATTTAAAAAAAAAAAAAAGTTTTCTATGGGCTCGCCAAAGACTATGGGCAGGGACCCAAGGGGGTTCTGCCAACACTTCCTGCTTACAGACTCTTAGGCTTGAGATATATAAGCATTTTTCATCTTTGATATCTCAAGATAGTGATTTAGGCATCTGCTGTAGCTGGTTAAAAGCAAGCAGGTTTAGTAGGAGCCCAAAAGGCCTGAGCCATGTGTCTATAGATATAGATGCTTTTTCATTCAGTCAGATTTTTCTAGTATCAGACATACTCTGAGATGCTCTTTATAAGTTAAATTTACAGCTAATGTTATAAATTAGGCAGCATGAGGCCGAGGTGCCACCAAGAATAGCCCCACCTAGGTGCTGTTCTAAATACTTTGCTGATATCATATCACTAATCCCCACAATTCCATGAGGTAAGGTGGAGAAACCAGGCCAAAGGGGGGTTTAGAGCTTGCTCAAGGCCACACAGCCTGTTAGTGGCAGGGATGAGATTTGAATCCCACCAGCGTGATCAGGGGTCAGGCTCTTACTCACTGGACTCAACCCCTGCCTGCGGAAGCTAACAGGCCAGGCCCTGTGGTCTCACAGGCTTGATCTCATTTCCATCAGTGACAAAACTAGTCAAAGCCCTGGGAATACTGCAGCTTCACCAGGCATTACTACTACTATTATCAATAATAGTTAACAGTTGGATGGTCTTTTCTTATTCCAGTAACATTTTCACATCCACTGTCCCATTTGATACCATGATCCTGTGTAATAGAAAGAGCAGCTATTAATATAATCCCCATTTTGCGGATGAGGAAACTGAGGCCCAGAGAGGTTAAGTACCTCCCCCTAAATCACTCAGCTTATGAATCGTAGGCAAGCAAGGGACACTGTTACTCTTTTTGACATCTTTGTATTTGTTTCTTATTTTTTCTTTCATTCTCACTTGAGACACATATTCATGCATCATCATATTAATCCTTGGTAGCTCTCGGTTACTTTAGGTTGCTCCAAAGGACTTCTCTGTCCAGAACTTTCTTTGCTCCTCCCAGGTCCCTAATGAGGTAGAAAAGGCCAGAGTTTTTCTTTCAAATTTCCAGTTGAGAAAGACAAGATTCGGAGAGTTCAGAGGACCTGACCAAGGTCACAGAGCCACACTAAGGAGCAAAATCTCAGACTCTTCCCAGGAAGGGTATGGACTTTGTAGAGAATTCTACAGAATGAATTATTCTTAGGTGCTGCCCCATCTTTAAAGCCTAGCAATACTGACAGATGAACAAAGGAAAGGCAGACGGTTGTGACATACTACCGATAACTTAAAAGTATGGTAATATAATGTGCCGCTAATGCAAGTTTTTATTATAATGGACTTAAAGTTGTTTCATAACTTTCATTATTGGCAATATGTCAACTTTAGAATGTTTTCCTAATTATTCTGGAGTCAGCCTTACTGTTCTTGGAAAGAATTAGAAGAGGAAAGAAAGGTCACTGTTTTAAAAATAGGCATGGAAAGGGCCAAAGGATGTAACTCTGCCCTGGTCTTAGGCCCTCAGGAACAGGTCTGCACTTTGACAAGTGGCACAGTCAGGTCATGTTTTTAATCCTAAATATGGCCCATCAACAACTGAAAAACCTGATTACCTCCAACAATTGACTAGTTTTCCTTCTATTTGAACCTTCCTTCCATCACAATCTTCATCTTTTCCCCACACAGGCAATGGAAAAAGAAAACCCCACTTGCTCAGGCTCTAGGCTGAGAGTGACATGCCCACTCTCTTCTAAGCCTCACCACAATCCTCAGAGGAAAATATGGGTCTCCCATTTTACAGATGAGG